TTGAGAAATTAAGTATAAGGGCAAGAAAAACATAATACTTAAAGAAATTCAAATGTGAAGATAATTTTAATCAAAAAATGAAACTTAAAAAAAAACTTATTTTTGGAAAAAAATAAATTTTTGGAAATAAATTTAATTTGTGAAAAAAGATACCTACTTGATATTTGTCTTGATATCAAGATACTTAACGAAGATATACACGATTTTTTGGAAAAAAATGAAAAATTTGGAAAAAATGAAAAATTTGGAAAAAATGAAAATTTTGAAAATATGAAAATTTGTGAAAAACTGAAAAATTTTGAAAATGATTTTTTTTAGAAAACATGTAAATTTTTTTAATATACCCGAGATGATATCAATATCATCCCTGATATCATCCCTCTAATCCTGAATATCTTGAAAAGAGGATATATATCGAATATATCGTATATATCGTGTGTATATCGCTCTTTATCTTGGAAAGAGGATATATATCGAATATATCATGTTTATCATGTTTGAAAAATATAAGAACTGATTTAACAAAATTGTCAACTGGGAATATATATCCGATATATATCTTGAAGACAGGATATATATCGAATACCCTATTTTTCAAGCACGATATACACGATATATTCGATATATATCCTCTTTCCTAGATATAGAGCGATACACACACGATATATACGCTATACCATCTATATATATCCTGTCTTCAAGATATATATCAGATATATATCTTCAATACAGAGGTTTGTTAAAAAGGTTGTTATATTTATGGATGACGATATACACGATATATTCGATATATGTCCTCTTTCCAAAATATAGAGCGATATACACATGATAACAATATACACGATATATATCCTCTTTCCTAGATATATAGAGATTATCCTATATGAGGTTCAGGATATTGGGATTATCCCGAGGCTAATATAATATATTTGCCCAAGGGCCGCAGGTCCCGAGGGAAAATATATTATATTGGCCAAGGGATAATCCCAATATCCTGAACCGACTATAGGATAATATGTTTATCCCATACCAATCTTGGTCATCTGGTTCACATTGTTCAATCGTGGAAATATTCTAGAATATTCATGTCCAGTTTTGTTTTCTTGGCCGTGGGCGGATTTTTTTGTTCTCTCAAATATTCCCACATTTATTTTCTCGAATTTTTTAAGTGGATGCTCCTTCTATTTTTTAAACCATCAAACAGATCCCGATTGTCTGTGTTTTCTCCATTGTCGTTTACAGCCATTACGCGAACGTTACAAATTATGAACAAATATGCGAGCGGCGATTATGACATAGCGGGCAGATATACTATATCTGCCCGCTCGGAGCGGGACGTAAAGCTATATCTGCCCGCTGATGAAAATATAAGTTTTTACAAACCGGCTTTATGTACCTGTAACACGTCCAAGTATGGGATAAAGAGCGATACACACACGATATATACGCTAAAATCTATATATATCCTGTCTTCAAGATATATATCAGATATATATCTTCAATACAGAAGTTTGTTAAAAAGTTCTTATATTTATGGATGACGATATACACGATATACACGATATATTCGATATATATCCTACCCCAGAGATATATATCGGATATATTTCGATTTGAGGATGGGAAGAGATAGTTTCACGAATATATCGTCTGAGAGACGATATATATCGCTATACAACGATATAGCCATTCCTGCACCTTTATGTTCTTTTTGGCATGCAGAGCTTTCAGAATAACTTTATAAATGAGGGGAGAATGGCCACCAACTATCAAAACAATTTTGTGCAAGATTTGTCTCAATTGTTTCACAATAACCTGTCAGATACAAGGTTTAACAAGCCCTTTATATTACATGCACCAAAACCTGCCAATGTGAACACTGGCTAGACTGAATGATTTCATATTTCAAGGTTCCATTTTTGTATTTAGATGGTCAGTGGCAGGATAGTAAGAATGGGTAATACTCTTGGTCAAGACTACTTTGTAGAGGAACCATATCTTTATCACTGAGGTCTTGGAGAAATTTTCCAATATGACTCTTTCTTCACTGACAGATTTGGATAGGAATGTTTGGAGCCTATTTTAAATTTTGAAAAAATATTCCAAAATTATGCAATAGTATCCTCCCCTCCTTATTCACACAGGTTCCCAGATCCACCCATGAGAAAATTTCGTTATACATCTTGATTCATGAGCTTTCAAACAGTAGTTTCAACTTTGATGAAAACTTTTGAAGTCAGAGATGTTGGTGACGAGTGTGTGTCTCCATAAGATATTTTGTCTCCAATTTCTGCTAATCATTAGTTCTATTATGACTATTCTAAATCTGTTTGGACATCTGACCTCTTAGATGTAGGTGAGGAATTCCTATTGAGGAATGTATGTAAGTGATCTCTCCCTTGTCTTCCCATATCTTGCTGCTGCCAGATATATACTCCTATAGTGATCCCTACAATCATGCCAGTCACACAGTGCTCATGTGATCATCACTCATGGTAGAGTTCTAGCAAGGACACCACCAAAAGACAAAGGTGAATAGCTTATATATGAGTTGACAAGGTTGGATGAACAAGGTGCAGTGGTCTCTCCAGCATTAAAGCAAGCGGGTGCAGTACCCACCTGAAATTTTAAAAACAGGTTTGTACCCACCTGGGATTTCATTTGCACCCACTTGAAAATGAGAAAAATCATGAAATATGGGCACATTTTGACCAATTTCAGTATGAATTGTGAAAATTAGAATTTTGCACCCACTAATATTCATGGCTGGTTTGACTTGTTCAATCCTTTGAAACACGGATAGTATGATAGATCAAGCGTATTTCACTTGGTTTGAAAATGCCACCAGACTTGCTGTATACCTTTAGGCCTGCTGATATGGATAAGATTAAGTTGTGTTCTCCATTTCATCTACATGGGGAATACTAATGCCACCAGGGCTATGACCATCAACATTTCTAATGTTACAATTATTCCAAGTATGAGTCTTCTTTAAAGATCAAATATGAAGTCATGTTTAATGTTAAGGCTTTTGCCATTTTGATATGATCACATTCTCTTAACATGTTACCTTCCATTTTAATTGTATTAGTTTCAAAATTTAAAAATGTGATAGGTTGACAATTTCAAACTCATACATCATCGAAAAGTTGTTATAGCAACCAAATTGTGATTGGAGATCAGTATTTGGTGGTCCTCATTTGGTATCTGTAACAATTGTCACACATCTGTAACTGTTCCAATGAGTTACCAGGTGTTGAGATTTTGTTGTGTCAATGTCTTGTTAAAATTATATAAACATGGCAATCAAATCATCTGTCCGTTTCCATCAGAATGACATCATCACATGCTCAGAATGCCTTTCCTTTGTAAATAATCTACTTGTATTTTTCAAGGGTATGAAATAATGTATAGTGCACATGTTGGCATTATGATTTATATGTTACATGCTGTGTTTTTGCAGCTGCTTACTCTACTATGATGCTATAGTTACTTAGCCCCCCCCCCCTTAGCAAGTTACCATCAATATTCAAGATACTTTAGTTATTTTTTGTAATGTGATATTCTTTGGTCCCTGAGTGGCTATTTCAGGTATCAATGGAATGCAACTTAATCAGTGTTAAGTGGAGGAGGTATCTACTTTTCTTAAAACAAACCTCTTGGATTTAGGAGCTGTCTCAAAAGTTTCACATTAGACCACCCAGACAATCAAACTACTTTTTGAATTGAAATCTTGTTGTTGTATATTGTTGTTCTAGATAGAATTGATTTTTTGATTGACAAGATCCTTTTATTAGGCTTTCATAATATTTGCAGAAATGTCTCGTGTCTTGGAATTAATTATTCCTGCTATTTCTGTTATAGTTGTTACTTGAGCCAAACATAATTTGGACAGTGCTGTGCTACTTGATAAACTAATTACAATTCAATTTTAGAGTAAATTTTGTTTATTTAGTGAGAAGTTTCAAAATAGAGCTGCACTCTACTTGACCATACCAGGTTCTTAAAAATGTCAATTTCAAAATTCTTAACTGATTTTAAAATTGAAAGCAAGATATCAAATTGTTTAAGGAATTATTTGACATATTGAAACAATTTTTAAGAAATCTCAAGACATATTTTGTTTTATAAGTGGAACTTGGCATCAATAAATTAGGTGAAGGGCATAAGTATTTGGGATAATATTTATGAAGATACTAAGCAGGGTATGCACCTGGTCCAGGTATGCAGAAGTACTGAGATACAGTTTCATGAAGATAACTGTATACCTGCTCCCGTTCACCTTTCATCAAGTGTGCATACCAGTGAATAATAGGAAAATGTCAGTCATAATGTAAGAACCTGGGATAAACCAATGATAGGTTTGACGTCATTCAGCTTCTCATATTTTTTGCAAGATCATCTATAAAGAATCAAGAATGTTAGATGCTTTCAGATGGTTCTCTACTGTTACTTCACCCCTATCTTTTAGCAAGGTCAGTTTTACTATGACCTTTTAAAGCAGCAAGTACTTATCCAGGAATGTATAGTACTATATATGTAATTTAGATCTTAGTTTGTCCTACACTCATTATTTAAGGTCATGGCTTATCTCTAGTTAGTCTGGAAAGTCATGCATGATATCTGCTAAGGAGATAACTAATTATTAATTAGTGGTGGTCCTCTTAAAACTCTGCCATATACTGTATCTAGTTGATTTCTTTTTTTCTCATAAATCTTTTGAGATGAAATTTGCACTTACCTTGATTGATATTGTCCAGAAATGACCAAGATGATTTATATGTTTAAAAATAGACTATGTAAACTACATTCTATCTAGAAATGGCATGTGTTTGAAATGGTCACTACTTATAAGTAACAGTTTCCATGGCAATGACCTGAGTGAAATTTATATTTATCTTCAAAATCTCAAAAGTATGCTTTCCAATGATACCAGAATTTTGCTAGGGGTCAACTCCGATATCAAACATCCATATTTCTGAATTCTTAATCTTACTCTTCAATTTTGGTGCCATAGTCACAACAATAACTTGTTTGCCTTCTTCTTTTTGCAACATTTATTGCTCATCAGTGACAGATACTTTGCGTACATGTTCTGGTAATTTACTAGCATGGCGTTACAAAGCAAGGTGTCTCCTGTACTTGTGCCATCGTCCCATCTTCATCTGTATGGGTGAAACCAGGGCATATACCAGCTCCTATGGGTGCAGGGTCGGTACACACTCTCACTCTGGACTTTTTCCCTATATCACATGTTGCGCTACATGCTGTAAATGGACTCCATTCTCCCCAGTTTCCATCGACTTTTATCGTATCTTGTATCCAGTCGATATATTCAGTTACTTTGGTATATACCCCTGACCCTGTGCCGCATGTTCTGGCACCCCAGCTTGTGATACCATATACAGTCCAGTGTGCCTTGCGCCTAAATCAGTTTTAAAGAATGATTACATATTATGGGTATTGTCAAGTTAGGTTAGCTTATGCTATACCAGTGTCACCCAATTGCTAAAAGAAAATGATTCAAATAATTTATGAGAGATATGTTTTATTCCTATTTGTGCCATCTTCTCCCATTTTGTGCTTTGTTGATGGAAAGATAATATGGTTTTACTGACTCTGCAATCTTTGTTACTGTTACAAAAGTGAGTTAGTCATATACTGGAACCATTCATAGTATCACTTGACATTAATAGATGAACGTTGGTCTTATATAATTTATACGTGGAAAAAACATTGAAATGCATTACCTGCATTGTAATGGACCACCAGTGTCACCATAGCAAGAATCATGCCCTTCTGCATGTGCACAAAACATTTTGTCAGATACAGGTTCATCAGAAAGTCCTTCACATTGATCATGGTCATTTATCCATGTTCTTAATAGAACATCTGAATACAGGCGCTGGCTACAAGATTTAGAACCTGAGCCTTCTGTGTCTCCCCATCCTGTGATTACACATGCCAGTCTTTTTATTTCAAATGTATTATCTGGGGGTAGTAATGCTGGCTGTGTAACATTATTCATTTGTATTGGTTCATTCAATACTATTATTGCGATATCATTGTTTAAAGTTATTCGATCAAAATTTGGGTGTATTTTAAATGATGAGCTACTGACTAATCTTTCCTGTTCGAATGGTTCTTCGGCTGAGATTCTATGCTTGCCTGTTTTGATTCTAACAAACTTTTTATTACTGATGAGATGTGCGGATGTTAGAATATGTCTTGGGCTTATTAGAGTCCCACCTCCCCTGCAATCATCAAGGAGGTCTATGTAGACCATCCAACGGTAATTGTTCTTTGGGCTGACTTCTTTACCTCCTATGATGATAGAGGTAGACTCAGTTAGTCTTACTCCTGGTGTTGTACATTGTACCTTGTTACAGGTGTTCCAATTAAGGCCATGCATGGAACACTCTGCTCCAGCCTCATTTAAGGCATTACATCGCTTAACTTGGGCCTGTTTTCCACATCCTTCTGGACATGGGGAGAATGGTGTATATTCAGTTTCTAGGAATAAAAATGGAACAATAGAAATGTGATATCTTTGTATTTTATAGCACATGTAGCTAGAGGAAAAAACTAATATGTTGTAATTATATACGAGTAGGCCTTTGAGAACTTTTTGAAAATAAGAAATGTGTCCTTCTTTGAATGAACAAATAACATAATTTACCTTCAAGGCTACGTTCACAAACTCCCAAACAGTTCAGGCGTTTATTTTTGCATTCACATCTAATACAACCTGCTTTCCAAAACACACCATCTTCTTCATTGCATCTTAATGCACACTTAGCCTTGTTAGAACAAGATATTGTGCCAGAATTACTGCATAAACATTTGTTACAGCCATCTTCATGAAGCCTATAATAATGATAATGTTTGAACAGTTGAAATATACTATACTATGGTAATTTATCTTAGGTGTACTGTCTGAAGTTTTTCAGGGATTGTAGAGAACAATTGTCTCTTTGTCCAGTCATTTATTTTTCTATTTCTGCCCAAGCCATTGAAGCCAGTCAGACATCCTTCGTCCCCCATCTCAATATGCTAAGATATATGAGATATAGAGGTTCTTATATGAGTGCAAGATCGTCCATTCTTGATGAGCTTTGATAATTCTTCATTATCAAAGCGAGTCAAGAATGGACGATCTTGCACAGGTACGAGTACAAGAAAGTTTTTCTCATATGACTCTGTATTATGCCATATTTTCACCATTTTATCATAAAACTTAGTGAAAAATAGCTTCAAATTAATTGAACTTCATCTTTCAATTGTTATGACGTCATAACAATATTGAAGAAAATACATAGATACACGTGGCAACATAGCTCCATTGTTATGACGTCACAGCTTAGTTTTGTTGAATTAGCATGGATACTCATAGAAACGGTGTGTCCGTTGCCATGTTGATGATGTTTATAGACCAGTGATGTCACAAGTAAATCTCATCTTGCACGTGTGACTTTTTAGGATGAAAGATGGCAATATCTTGCATGGGGTAAAGATGGCTGTATCTTTGTTAGTCATATGAGAAAAAACTATTACACGAGATGTAGTCTAATGCATAATATAAGCATGTAACTCATGACTCGTGTAACTCATAGCTATTGTAAAATGTAACTTATGTAACTCATAGCTATTATAAAATAGATATTAATTTTGAAATTCGACATCTCTAATTCTTTCTCTTGACTATGTGAAAGTAAATGTACAGGGTGGGCCAAAAGAACCTTCACATGTTTTACTTAAATACAATTTTCTACAAGTGGTAACTTACCATTTGCCATCAGCTGGTTTGTGCATGTTTCCATTATTATCAATACATGTTACATCCAAACAACACATGTTGTATCGTAGTCCTTTCGGGTCAGTATAGCAGTAGTAGCCTTGGGGGCAGGTGATACTTCCTCCTCCACGACATTTATAAGGAGCTTGAGTTGAATTATCTATTAACGGGTTGCACTGTGGTACTTTCCTATACTGACAACAATTATTCTGGGCCACCTTGCATCTGTATGTGTTAGGACAGTCTCGGTGAAATTTATCACAAGAAACAGTATGGTGCACAAGTTCTCCTCTCCTGCAAACGTGGCTCCCTCTTATCATTGTTACACATATTATCACTGTCAAAAAATACACATTGACTCCAAGATTCATGTTGGCTAAATGTATCTATTAATTATCTGATCAGATCATTTTGTTTCCAGGATGTTAGAAAAATTTAACCACAGATATATTACATATCCTTTCAAACATTATATCCAACACCGTATGTATGTTATCCTTCCCTATATTAAACTGACAGTAAATATCACCAAAAGAGTTTCACTCGTGGATTTTTCACTTTCATGTTGTGAACTTCAATCAAATAAGCAATAAAGAAATACATGTTTCTTTTTCTTTGTTCTTGAATAACTTACCATTTATTTGCAAGATTTGAATACTTAATTGATATCATGATATTATGATATGCATCAATAAGCATCAATAACCTTACTAGGAAGACCAAACTATTAATTAAATACTAGTTTTGAATGTAAATGTTATAAATCAAAAATATTTACTTGACTTAGGGAAGATAATTGTTATTTGGTTAAAGTCATTTTGACAGTTTTTTTTCGGAGAAGAATAAATGTTTGTAAAGAATATTTTATTGTAAGGCCAACATCTGAACAAATATATTTGCATTTAGTAGGTGTAAATATAAAAGAAAAAGTCAATACATCATTAAAGTATGGTAAGTCTATTTATCATAGATTTAGTATTTGATTCATTAATAGCCTTCAAACAATAAGTTTGTTTCGTGGAATGTGTATATATAGATGTATAATACATATAGCAATATGTACTACATGTATATTAAAGGCAATAGAATCCAGTGAGCAATATTTCCAATATTTCTCAATTTTAGAATATGTCATGCATTGTCACATGTGTTGTAAAATTGCATACAGTTCATATTTTATCCCAAGAAAACATAAGATTTATAAACTAGTACTTAGTTCAATAGTTTTTCCATAAATAGGCACAATCATATTATTTACATGGGAGAAATAACACATTTTTACACTTTTAATCTAAAATTACTTAAGGTTTATCTTGTCTTGGATTGTTTATGGAGATATTATATATTTGATTTTTATTATGTCACCACCAAAAGTGGTGACATATTGTTATGGTCTCCGTTTTTTTGCGACGGCGGTTGGTGGTTGGCGGTTGGTGGTTGGTGGTTGGCGGTTGGTGGTTGGAGGTTGGCGTCCGGCGTCCGGCGTCTGTAACAATTTCTTACAACTTCCTATAACTTAACAAATACTGTTTAGACTGACTTCAATTCTTTTCTAAATCATCTACATGTTCTCAGAAATTCAAATCTGACTTTAGATTTGACATTCAATGACCTTCTCAAGGTCAAAAAGGTCTTTTTTCAACTTGCTTCACATTGACTAAATTTTTTTTCAAAATCATCTACATGTTCTCAGAAATTCAAATCTGACTTTAGATTTGACTTTAGATTTGACATTTGACCTTCAAATCTGACTTTAGATTTGACATTTGACCTTCAATGACTTTCTCAAGGTCAAAAAAGGTCAAAAAGGTCTGTTTTCAACTTGCTTCAAATTGACTAAATTTTTTTTTCAAAATCATCTACGTGTTCTCAGAAATTCAATTCTGACTTAAGATTTGACATTTGACCTTCTCAAGGTCAAAAAAGGTCAAAAAGGTCTGTTTTCAACTTGCTTCAAATTGACTAAAAAAAAATTTCAAAATCATCTACGTGTTCTCAGAAATTCAAATCTGACTTAAGATTTGACATTTGACCTTCTCAAGGTCAAAAAAGGTCAAAAAGGTCTGTTTTCAACTTGCTTCAAATTGACTAAAAAATTTTTTCAAAATCATCTACGTGTTCTCAGAAATTCAAATCTGACTTTAGATTTGACTTAAGATTTGACATTTGACCTTCAATGACCTTCTCAAAGTCAAAAAGGTCAAAAAGGTCTTTTTTCAACTTGCTTCAAATTGACTAAATTTTTTTTTCAAAATCATCTACATGTTCTCAGAAATTCAAATCTGACTTTAGATTTGACATTTGACCTTCAATGACCTTCTCAAAGTCAAAAAGGTCTTTTTTCAACTTGCTTCAAATTGACTAAATTTTTTTTTCAAAATCATCTATATGTTCTCAGAAATTCAAATCTGACTTTAGATTTGACATTTGACCTTCAATGACCTTCTCAATGTCAAAAAGGGTCAAAAAGGTATTTTTCATCTTGCTTCAAATTGACTAATTTTTTTTTTCAAAATCATCTACATGTTCTCAGAAATTCAAATATGACTTTAGATTTGACATTTGACCTTTAATGACCTTCTCAAGGTCAAAAAAGGTCAAAAAGGTCTGTTTTCAACTTGCTTCAAATTGCCCAAATTTTTTTTTCAAAATCATCTACATCTTTTCAAAAGTTCAAATTTGACTTTACAAGTTCTCAGAAGTTCAAATCTGACTTTAGATTTGACCTTTGACCTTCAATGACCTTCTCAAGGTCAAAAGGTATTTTCCAACTTGCTTTAAATTGACCAAATTGTTTTAGGTGGTGACATTTTGTCATGTTAATGCCTTGTTTGTACTCTGTTTTGATTAAACATCATTTCCCCAATTGACCTAATCTATAAATGCCCTTGACAGCTTAATCTTAATTATGGTTAATTAGCCAATAGTTAAAGGCGCAATAGCCGGAGCCTGAAAAAATCACTCACCTAGATATCAACGAAAGAAGTTGCAGTTTCGTTTGACTGCGAGAGCAAAATTGAAGCTGAGCTAAACGGTTTTTGTTTGTCGTAAAATTTACCTCATTTAACTACGCCATCTGGCGAATGAATCATTGTTTTTGTGTCATATGATTCGTTGTTTTGTGTCACGTGACCTACCTTTAGACCTTTTGTCACCTATCGTAAGTTAATCAAATTAAAATGAAATTTTTGGATCCAAGAAGAAAATCTGCACAAAAATGATAAACTCCGCTTGGCATAATCTTTGTCACTCTATCGTCTTCTTGATGAGACACATCGGAACTTGGGATTAATAGCCATTCAACTAAGCCACAAAAAGTATGTATATTAGTTGTTCAACATGTTCAATTGTTTTAATATTTCCGGGCACTCAACCTTAATAGTATACAAAACAATTTACACTAAACATTATTTAAGAAGTTAAACATTACAATTACATTTGATCATTACACATTTAGTGGAAAATATACATGGTTTGGCATATCTGGTGGTTTTTACCTTAAACTCTATCTAGGCAGTGACTAAGGTCAAATCATATAAGACTAGGGTTGAAGCATGGGCTTTCTATTAAAAGCCCATGGTTGAGATAGGTGAGAGATAGGTTATGGGTATGCTGGTTTTTTTTTTATTAGCAGCAGGCAACAGCCGATTTTCACCGCTTTTCACAAAATCGCCTGTTGTTTTTTTTTAGTGACTTTTCAACTCCTCCATGTTAAATTTATGATTTCCATTGAAATTTTGCCCGTTATTTTCATTTATTGTTTATTGTTGTGAGAAATTCTAGTGAAACCCCTGGGTATGAAAGATATTTGGATATTTTTCAAATAAAAGATTCAGTGTGTTTTGCTTTTACTTTATTATAAAGATGGCGTTAGCTTCTACATAGCTGATATCAGAATCAGTTTCACCCTTTTTGCCTAGCCAGAACCCTGACCCCTCTAGCTCTCTTTAGCTAATTGTTTGTTGGATCACGGAGAAATTAATATTACTTGATAGTACAGAGGCTTGATGTAAAACTATGCCTAAATGTTCTCAATTATATGTAGATAATATTAATATATGTTTAAAGCCTCATTCGCTTTTTGTAACTTCACAAAATCGATATAGAAAATCTACATCATACTGTTTATCCCCATATTTATGCTGCATTTTTTCTCGATTTTGGGAAGCTACTGCTATCAAATATGACTGAGGTATTCGATTTATAATTCAGCCTTGTTACCTATAACCCTAATCATGTCTATCTACCAAATAGTACTGCAACCCATGGTCTAGATTTACCAACATATTAAGACATGCAAATTTAACAATTTTGAATTCAGAAATACAATTAGACTTCATCAATTATCACCACTGGGTATTTATTATTCTAGCACCCAATTACATATTTTCACTGTCACCACAGCATGAAACATGAATTTATTCACAACATCTTTTGGGTCAGTTAAATATCACCCCATCAGTAAAAACTATACTGTGTTGATCTCAGGGGTTTTAATGGCCTTTCAATAAAAGATCAGTTCTTTTTTGTTTCTTTTTTCCATTTATCATTTCATTTGAAACTTCCATGTCATTTACCATTGAGAAATTGATTGTTAATGCAGAGAAAACATACTATGAACCCATATTAAACCCATTTACCCTTAAAAAGTAAGTGTATGGTTTAAACCAGTTGATAAAATGCAGTTAATCATTCAATAGATCTTATTTGGTAGATAAAAGCAGATTTAAATAGCTATTTTATGTATACAAGATAAAGAAGTACACTCTATGTTAGTCTGATTTGTTTATAATTAAGTTCAGCCAAGGTTGTGTTTTTAAAGATGAGCCAAGATTCCTGTGTGTTTGTTAAACCACATAGCTGTTTTAACAAGGGAATGTTGTCAGATTGTGTAAGGATTCATGAAGTATAACGAACTACAAACTTATATACATGTACAGAAAATAACCAGTAATTGGATGGACCCTTGGATTAACATGAACATAAGTAGTAGTAGGATACACTGTATATGTATACACATATTTTTAATGAAACATTTGCAAATAAGAATAACTCAGATGAATTCGGATTAATGGATTAACTTCATCTCGTAATAACTTAAGGCAGTGAGGGTTTGACTTAATTCACTCTAACTGATTGAATCTTAGATGTGAAATGCATTTTCAGTAACATATAAGTCATTGTGTCTCCTCTACTTCAAACTTCAGGAGTTTGAATTCATTTTGTATGCATCTTCAAATCAATTTAGTCTGCAAACAATTTTTATGTGTTCTTATTTATTCTCTTAATGTAAAACATATTTTTAAGAGTATTTGTACATATACCTGAGAGTACCTGAAAGTAGATGTTTGAAATAGAGGTCACGACTCCCAAGGTCACGTCGTCTCTGGAAAATAAGATTCGAAATTAAAGTTTGATATATTTTTTATTTTTTAGTACCTTGTTT